TATATATATATATATATATATATATATATATATATATATATATATATATATATATATATATATATATATATATAATTTATATATATAATTATTACGTGACGGCATTAATTGAATGTAGGCTAGAATCTCGTTTCGGCTGAATTGACAAAGTTCTGGAGGGACTTAATCAATTCCTTGGGTTTACATTATTTAATAAAACTGTCTTTATTTTCACTTTACGTACTCCAGAGGCTGAGCTATCTTAACTGAAAGTCTGAAATCGTCAATTTACGCATAAGAAACGTCTCTTCACCACAGAAATTTCCGTTTACTATGTTCTCCGTTAGATGGCGGGATGGCGAGATTACGATTACCAATTTACCGACTTGTAAAAGTCAGAGTTATATATTTTTTTGTTGAATTCCAACGATTTATTCATTAGTATAAGTTTAAATAAGTGATAATGTATGATTATTTTGTCTAAATAATAAAAAAAACTGACATTTCATATTCCGTATTATTTCAATTATTCATGAAACTCGCGTGGAGAATTTCGATCCTATGTCAAGGCGGCACCCATTTTTAAATCATGTTGTTCAAATGCTTAACTTTAACGATCGTACGGTAACTGGTGATGCCGATGCGCCGTAACGATATCTTGGTAGATAATATTTACAATATACTCTTATATCATTCAAAAAATGTTATGACATATTTGTTGGTAAATGTTTGATACGACAATCACAATTAATATTGATACAATGTTATCAGTAATCAAATTTTAACTAACGTGCTCGCAAAAGAGAATATTCCTTCTTTCTTTCTCACAATATTTTAACAAAGTAAAGTTATGATTACACTCTTTTTGTAAAAATTCTGGTTTTACAATATCGTGATAACGATCTTTACATATATTAAAATATCACATTTTATATACGAGAAACACCTAAAATATTTCACATTTGTGTATAAAAATATTGCACAACTGAAATGTAATGCAAACATTAGACTTCTTATATAACATGTTATATTAAAGTTATGTTGCTGTTATATTGTTGATGTAACTTAGCCAGTAAATAACATAATAACATAACAATTTTATAATATAGTTATATCGGTTATAAAGGAAATTAAATAATCTCAATATTAATCTCAATATTAAACGTATCACAACAGTTATATTACATGTTACTCCTGTGCCATATCACAGTTATGTTCTGTGTTTGCTGGGATTATACTAAACTAATACGCGTATCAAATGACACAAATGACGATGTAAACGTATGAAACGAATGTTGGAAGAAACCTAACCTAATTAAAACCGGTGTTATCAGTAACCATAGATTTCTTTCAAATTATATTATAGTAAAATATCTTGTAAAAAAAGGTTAAATTGGAGAGAAGAAGAAACGAGTACATTTTTAGAATTATGCATTCCTCCTGTCGGTCGAAGCTATTTCAAGCAAATTGCAATTCCAAACACCACCACTAGAAGGTAAACGACATGAATTAAATTATATTTATCCTAAATTGGTATTATATTTTCCCTAAATTGTTTTGTTATTTATTCTTTCCATTCTTAGCAAAAATATTAAACATTGAATTTCTTTTAATCTGTTTAATATTGATATTAAAATATTAAATGTTATACTATTGCTGGTATATGTTAATATTGTTAAAAATTTTGAATTAAACTTGGGATTAAAGGTGATATTGAAAAATTGAATAGTCTAATTATTCTTAGCAAAAATATTAAACATTGAATTTCTTTTAATCTGTTTAATATTGATATTAAAATATTAAATGTTATACTATTGCTGGTATATGTTAATATTGTTAAAAATTTTGAATTAAACTTGGGATTAAAGGTGATATTGAAAAATTGAATAGTCTAATTATTCTTAGCAAAAATATTAAACATTGAATTTCTTTTAATCTGTTTAATATTGATATTAAAATATTAAATGTTATACTATTGCTGGTATATGTTAATATTGTTAAAAATTTTGAATTAAACTTGGGATTAAAGGTGATATTGAAAAATTGAATAGTCTAATTTTTTGACTCATATATTAATATATCGACAATGGAAGAATATAAATTTGAAAAATAAAGGAGAAATATAATATTTTTCTTTATATTTTTCGATGTAAACGCACCCGTCTTAAAGCATTGGTGCGCATCAAATTTAATACGCGTACGAACGTTTTGACAATGTAAACCAAGCCAATAGCAAAGAGAAGCCTGAGAGCGGCCACCAGACTGATTTCAGTGGTCAGAGCTAGGCGCATTTTCGAGACGCCATCTAACAAAGTGCGCCTTTATTATATTCGTTAAGCGCATTCTCGCGGTGGTAACGATAAAATGCGCCTGGTTCGTATCCGTTTACTTCCGTACAATAATAGTAAATTAGAAAAGGACAGATGTCTAATCGCTCATTCTTGTCTCACATAGAGAGCCTCATAGGGAGAGAGTGGCAAACTTTATCACGTGACCCCTCTCTTCTGACTGGTTGTGGGCGTCAAGGCTTCTTGTGCTCATGATGGTACACTGATATTCATTAATTCGAGTTGCTTATACTTTTCAAACTTTTACACCTAATGCCCGTTGCATACTAGTGCACTCCAAACAATACAAATTTTCCAAAATACATTCTGAAGACGTTTTCAGAACAGAGGGACGTCATCAGAATATTCTTAGGACGTCCTTTGAAGGTGTGAATTGTCTAAAAACAGCTAATATCAAATAAGTTTATTCACATTAATTGAATTTTTTACACTTTCACACTTAGTGCACATTAATTCTTTCGAGATTCTAAAAATGGCGTCATGTTTTCCGTTCGTGTTACGAGTAAATACAATTCTGATACACTTTTCACTCTTGCTTGAAATCAAGTGTAAAAAGTGTATCAGAATTGCATTTGACCAATCACTGAAGAATTGACCAATCACTTTGAGTATCGTCAAACCGTAAGGTTGCCATTTTTGTGAATACTCGATTGTAATTGGTTCATTTTTACGGTACGTCTTACGTTACTATTATGTCAATTCGTGTGCGGCGCCCCTTAAGTCCGTATCAGACTACAGATTAGGATTGAGATTGAATTGAAATTTAGTCAATCAGAGCAAAATTCACTAAGCTCAAATTTGGTGAACTTTGCTCTAATTGGCCAATTTTCAATTCAATCTCAATCTTAATTTTTAGTCTGATACGGGCTTTACACTCGTAACACGAACGGAAATCATGACGTCATTTTTAGACCTCTAAAGAATTATGGCTCCTGTACACAGAACGCGGTAATGCTTGCCACGCGGCGGAAATTCGCGCGACAGCCTATCAATATGCTGCTTTCCGTAATAACTTTCTAACTCTTACGGAAAAACAACATATTGATTGGCTGTCGCGCGGGCTTCCGCCGCGCGGCAAGCATTACCGCGTCCTGTGTGCAGGAACCATTAATGTGCACTAAGTGTGAAAGTGTAAAAAGTTCAATTAATGCGAATAAACTTATTGGATATTAACTATTTTCAGACAGCTTACATCTTCAAAGGATGTCCTAAAAATATTCTGATATCTTTCCATCCTAAAAGCGTCTTCAGAACGTATTTTAAAAAATTTGTATTGTATGAGGTGCACTAGTATGCAACGGGCATTAGGTGTAAAAGCGTGAATGGTACAAGCAACTCGAACA